GTCTGATTCCAAGGAATCAACAACTGACTCTGACATTTTAATTTCCAGGTTACAACGATGGAACCACCTCATCTAGATCACACTAGGTTCAGTTTCCTACTTCTCCCTTCCCCACATATCTATCAATAAAAATTGCATAATCCGAATCTTCAAAATCATTCACATACACTATATTCTATTTATTGAAAAAAAACACAATTTAATCACTGTAATGTTTGCAACAAATAGAAGGGAGTCCTGACCTTTTCAATGAACGATGCAGGGTAACAACGATATGTCTGCTCAAATGATGTCCCGTGATATCCATATCCACCAAAATACTGGTCATACAATCAGAAGAAAATTGTACTGTCATACCCAGATCTCAGTGTAAAGCATAAACAGAACCATTGACTCATCAAAAACCAGAAACCATGACATACAACCCCACCATCTGAAGACACAGAATGTTGAAGGAAGAGCAAGCTACCAGATTCCTATGCATATTTTGCTTCCATAATTAGCTAGTAGTGAAGATTAAACGATTATCAATACAAAAGATACGTCAAGAGAAAAAGCATAGATTGTGGACCAATATAAGCTAAGTTCGGGTACATGTAATCATCAGCAACAACAGTAAGATTTCCAGCAAAAGCCGATAGAGAGAGAGAGAGAGAGAGAGAGAGAGAGAGAGAGAGAGAGAGAGAGAGATCAGTCTTTTGGTGCTCATCATAGAGTGCGTTCAGTGTTAGTTAACTCTCACTGTTGGAGTTCGACAACTTCAACTAAATTTAAGAATCAATACTCTTTATATAAGGACACAGAGATTAGTATCAGGGAAGTAACAGATTCAACAAGATCCTGCATAGCAAAGATTATCTCTGTCATAGACTTTAGGAAAATGACATCAGTTCCTTTATCCACTTTATATAGCTTTTGTTTTCATAGCTCTTGTCTAGTGACCAATTAATTTTCTTGTTTTTCTCTATTCAGTCTAGTACCCTCCTAACCCTTCCTCTCCCTCTCCTGTCCCCCACCAACCCCCCACCCCCTCTTTTTTTTTCTTCAAAAGGTAAGACAGGGAGGGATTAGTCTCTGACTAAGGTACAGCAGTTGAACTTATTATAAAACTAACCCAGAAGTACACTCTTTCAATTCATTCGTAACTATCATAAAGACTTTAGTAGTTCCAGATTACCCCCAAAAGAATGAATTCAGTAGTTTTGCACGTTTACAACAGGGACAATATACGTCTCTAAAGCAAATAAACATGCTACCCCAGCCAACTCACCAACCATGAATATTAGACCAACGAAACTTACCATCTTGTGCAGCTTTTAAGACTGTTGCACAAAGTAGTGAGAACCTTCAAGCACACCTACAAGATAAAACGCTACAAAGCTCAAATAATAGCCAAAAAAAACTGGGAAGTTCATCAGGAAACTGTAAATCAACTCGGACAAATAATTACGGCGTCAGCATCAATTACTAAGGACATGGAAGAAATTCAAATAATTCCAGAATTCGTATCCTAGAAAAATTTCTTTCTTCTATGCCAGCAGCCATGTGGGGAGAGACATCATCTGTACCCTCAAACTAATTGAAGCCAAAAATCCACAAAATTGAACACCCCAACTACCCAAAGACCTAACTATCCAAATTCGCTCGTACCAAAGTCTCAATCCTTCGATTCAATACCCCCAAAAACCACAATCATAACCAATGCCCCCACATTCGCAACCTCGCGCGCGCACCTCGACCGCGCGAACTCGGCGCCCACAACATACAAGCAAAGCAAGCAGGATCGCTCGAGTCGCAGCAGTCATCTCATCCGATCATCGATCAATCACGGCACGACATACGAGGAACGACGAGGAACACGAAGGAATTCAGACAACTGCGGTCGTTCTCGGCAAACAAGAATCACATCGACAGCGCCGATTTTCAGGAACCGATAGATCGCGCCTACCGTACGGGGGGCGGTGGAGAGACGGAGAGAGAGATCGGAGCTCCGTCGGAGGATCTGTTTGCTTGTTCGAGTGGAGAAGGAGAAGAAGGAGAGAGAAATAAATAGGATTGGGGAAAGTGCGAGGAGGGGAGGGAGAGAATGAAAACGGATCCGTTGTTTCGGGTCGGGTAGAAACCGATGGGGGTAAAAGTGGGGGGGGGGCCCAAACGGTGCGTTCTGCGTATTGCGGACGCCACGTCGCTATCGGCCACTTAGCTTGGACTTGGGCTCGAACTTATGGGCCGGGCCAAGCTACAATTGGGCCGAGAGACAACGAAGACGAAAGGAAGGTAACGGCGCCGTTACTTTCGAGGGGAAGACCGAGGATTTTCCACCGCCCGTTCCGTTCGCTGCAAGCGACAACCGGAACCGTCAAGCATTAATTCTTTTTTTTTTTTTGGTCAAACATTCAAGCATTAATTCGCCATCATGTTTTTCCTTCATGATTTTATTAAAGAAAAAGGAAATATAATTCCTCCAAATATGGATCCTTGAGAAAAAGAAGCTAATGAAATATTGGTGTGCAAACCGAAAAAATCTTAGACTGTTTTTACTTGGTTCCTAATAAGTTTTTCAAGGTTAGGGTCTTTTTGGTAATTATCCCGTTTTTTTATTTTTCTGTTCTTTTGATTTTCGAAAAAGAAAAACAGAAATCCGATTGGTAAACTGTGTTAATTTTTCTATTCCCCATGATGGAAAAGTGGGCAGGGAATAAATTTGGAATAGAAATAAAGAGTAAAAAAAAAACAATCTACTTCTTCGTTCCGAGGAACGATTTCTGAAATAAGGTCATTTTCTTTTCTTTTCTTTTTTCCTTTCTTCTTTCTTCCTCCTCTAGTTGGTCATCGGGCCTCGACAATGGTCAGCGACCAGTTGGCCCCACCCATCCACCACGAGGTCAACCTCGCCATGGTCAGGCGAGGTCGCAAGGTCGAGCCTCGTCGATGAGGCTCACTTGAGGGCGGCCCTTGTCTTTGGCTAGTCGTCGGCCATCACTAAGGCCCCGTGAGAGGCTAGAGGAGGAAGAAGAAGAAAGAAAAAAAAAAGAAAAAAATTCAAAAAAATTCAAAAAATTCCACGTCACAAAAATTTTAGGGCACATCAAACTTTTTTTTTTCTTTTTGTATTTTGAGAATAAAAATTTTGTGCTATTACCAAACGCGTTCTTTTGTTCAAAAACTCGTCTATGGAATATAAATAAAAAAAACTATTTCCGAAAAAAAATTGTTCCTGACAACATAATGTTACCAAACCCTGTTCACCAGATTAAAATAAAATATATGTTTTCATTCCAGTCTGATAAAAAATCACTTAGCGAACACTGATTGGCTTTAGCGTAGTTGCAATTTACTGTGAGACCAATATCATTCATATGTTATAGTCAAAAAACTGATTTGGCTAACCAACGAGATATATTATGATGTTCGAGCTAACAAATGCGCTTATGCATTAACTGAATCGATTAATTATAAACATGTGATAAGGTGATTTTGTTTTATTTTCAACAACATTAAGGGCGTGTCTAAATTATTCGTATTGCCCTATCATTTGCCAAATCTTTTCTTAGCGTTTGTATTATGAGTTTAATTTAACGTCGATCATATGTATCGTCTAGAAAACACAAATCTCAATATGTAAAATCAATTATATTCAATAACCATTTAAAGTTCAATATATGGTGTCATACTTTTTCGATCTAAAATAAAGGGGCGTTATTTTAATCAGTATTTAAGACACTAGTTGATTATACCCAATATGATACAAGATAATATTATACAATCCTAGTTTGAAAAGAAAAACACTATTATACCAAGGAAATAAACTAACTACGTTTCTAATTTTGACGGTGCGATGGATTATCTTTGTACATGAAAAAATGAATAGAAATGAATAATGATAGAATAGGTTGTCTAAATATTACGGTATATATTTCGAAATCTTGTGGCCACAAAGGCCCATCACTTGCACAATAGAGGATAGGGGATCGGTTCCACCCTAAAATCAGGAAATGGAACAGACATGGTTGATTTTTCTATCTGTGGAATCGGAAACTGACCTCATCTACTTGGGAATTGGCGGTATTTTTTTCTTTAAAATGTTTTATTTTCTTTCCCATGAACCGGAAATCGGACCAGTTATTCCCGGTTTCATAAATTTTGAATCGGGATCCGTACCAACTCCAGTGGGAACCACCTAGATGCAACCGGTTTGATTCCCGAATTGGGCCAGGACTGATGCACATCCGTAGTATAGCGTGTCCCCAAGTTGTCAATATGTCCTTGTTATCAATTTATCAAATACCTTTCCGATCTAAAACAGACAGACATATGGCGACCTACATGTTTCTTGCACGGATGAATACTGTTGTTCATTGGCTTCTCATGCGAATCCGAACGCCATCTTTTATAGCTAGAAAACAAAGCCAAAAAAATTGACAACTTGGGGACAGACTAGAAAACTAAGGCCGATTCTGTGGTCCTTGAGCGACAAATCTTCTTGTACATTCTGTCGCAACTTGTCTTAAGAAGCAAAAGCTCGAAAAGCTTTCAATCCATGGTCTAGGTTTGAAGTATATGATCTCATGATCTTACGTCTACTACCTCCAAAAGAACAATTCTTGCTCCATGCTCGGTGGGCATTTATCACGGGACATCCCTTTTTAATAAGGACACCAACTTTTCCCTAGGACAAAATAAAATGACGCTATTGTCGAACTTCGAAAGGCAAATTACGAAGTTTAATGTACTTCGTTTTAATTATGAATAATCAAAAGACTCCATCTTCAACCCCGGGAGAAATTGTAAAACAAGCAAAACGAATTTGAATTGTTGACTTGCGCTTGAACTTGGGCAATTACTCCGAGCGCTGAACTAGAAATCACAATGTGCTATGGCAGGCTTATCTACACTACTGTCGTTTTGATGCCAAATCGACAGAAAAGCTAATCTATCCAAATGTCAACATGCACAATGACCATAATATGCGAAAGAAACTAGAAAAGAGCGATCAGGGAGGCAAGTCAATCTGCACTTCAAATCTTTCATCAAAACGTCAAAGTTAGGGAAAACACCCAAATACGCAGCAGTCAGGAGTAACTGAACATCAAAGGCAACATTGAGCTTCATCGTTATAACAGAAACAAGATATTGGCCGCCAGAGCCATCTTTCAACCCCATTTGCATGGACTCTCACAGCCTGCAAAACAAAAAATTACGGGATCTTTTCAAGGATTCAATCAATGACACCAAGTCTACCTCAATCTAGGTCAACATGCACGACAACCTAAGTGCATGAGTACAGGGAGTGCATATGTGTGTGCGTATGTTCATGTGTTTTGATCTGTACAGATAGGTAGGAGGGCGGTGGGTTTCATGCAGTCAGTGGTGGGCGCATGCAGAGAGAGAGAGAGAGAGAGAGAGAGAGAGAGAGAGAGATTTCCTTATATGGACAAACTTATAGCACAGAATCTGTGGCAACTCGTACCAACAAAAAGAATGAGTAGCCAAGAAATGGAAGGATTCAGAAAAAGCAAGCAGTCTAGTGAGCAGTGGCTTAGTGAAAACAAAATTGAGACACTATCACCAATCAAAGGGGAAAAACAGCCAACAAGTTAAACTCTACTAAATAAAACTTCAAAGTAAAAGAACATAATAATGAAAAGAAGACACATACTAACCTTTATTAACCAACAGGGAGCACTTAGCATTTTCAATCATTATCTTCACGACCATAATCATAAATTATCTCGATCTACAAAGAGAGGATGGATAAGAAAATAGTGGATCAGGAAGCTTAAGATATTTGTAGGACAGTCCACCACAATGTTGACAAAAATGCAGTGCTTACATCGTCATTTACAATGCAAGATAGCTAATAAAGTCCCTCGGTAAAAAGGGGAAGAAACAAGAGAAGGGTCTGAAAGCATCACCAAGAGGGAGAATCATACTATAGGCACTTCTTCAGAACTGACAAGTAACAAAAAGTAGGCAGTATGCATTGTAAAATTTGAGCCGGAAGAGACGAGATGGTGCCACAGGGAAGATAAATTTAACAGTCTAGCAATTGAGCACAATATGCGCACTAAAATAAGATTAACTGACCAATCTGCATTTTAAAATCACCATCGAATGCACTAAAGAGCATATAGAACTGAAAAAACTACATACTATTCGCGAACCCATCAAGATTTACAGACAAAGTTCTTCCACAGGTCAAATCATGGTAATGGTATGTCAATAAAAGAAAAGAGCATCGATGAGAGTGCAAAGCATACTGCATACATCCAGAAAATTGCAAACTGACTTGTACACAAATTGAGATCAACCCTTGTATGCCCTCACTGCTCATACTGTTGACCTATGATGCATAGCACATATAGAATGAACAAATAGATTTTCAATGAAATTACTAAGCATTGCCAACATCATCGAGCAGAATGCCAACTAAAGATGAAACGAACATTCTCTTGTGAAGATCAAAATCATTAGAGGATTCATACATATGGATAGCCACGTATCAATCACTTTGATTATCAAGAACACTTACCCCCGAAGGTGGTGTCGGGTTCCGAGTAAACTTGCTACCACCAGGAGCCCAAGGCACTGCAACAAGATGCATAAGTGAGTTGCGAGCCACATATAGGAATCAGGAGGATACTCATTTCTTGAAAGGCAAAAGAACGACGGAAGAATGAAGGAAGTATAAAGATTTCACATCATTCCACCAATAAAAGAAGGCTAAGTTCAAGAGCCCAACCGTATGCTAGGCAGAAACCTAGATCAGAGAATATATATGTATATATATGACAGAATGTCTACACTCTGATCGGATCTATTCCAAATAATACTGCAATCTTCATCTCATAGATCACAACATTTTGAATGTCCAGCGATGACACCTTTCAAGCAGCTAAACAACCGGGCTTCAGCTCATTCAAAAGTAACAGCCCAGTATAGAATCTAGTAGTGCATCTAACCAGTACTTACCAATGTAAGGATCAGGGTGCCGCCACTTATTGTAGCTAGCTTCCGCATCAGCAATCAATCTGTCGATGGTATCAAGATCCTCCTGCGTGTTTAAATAACAGCAAGCAAGCATTTTCACTTTTCTGTTATTACATTCATAAGCCACATTATCCTGTTACACTATTAAGCTCGAAAGCGAAACAATGATCAGTTTAGGGAAAACCATTACCAAAATCAAAGCCATACATTAACTGTCCAGGCTACTGTTAGCAAACGAAAAGCAAGTGAATTTAACATCTTGAGCACCACAAATATACAAAACTATTATTCCCGATGATGCAAGACGAAACAAGAAAGCATGGAAACTTATGAAGATAATAAGCAGGACAATCAGCCTAAATGGTGAACAGATAAAGTGCCTCCCTTTCCCCCCCACTACGCCTCGCGTTTCATGCCATTTCAAATTCCAGTTTCCTACTTGAATCGAACGTAATCTCCTCGATCAGTAAACTCACAAAAATTAGAGTTCTCGACATAGCACCAAACTGAGTACATCGAAGCGGATCGTACCACGTGTTTGTTGGATTCGAATCTCTCGCGCAAATCCGACGCCTGAAAACGCAGAGAAAAAACATTCCAAGCATGACGATCAGCAGCCGAATGTTGAGAATCAGATCGAGCGATTGAGGAACTGCGAAACCCTAAGAGAGAGGGAGAGAGAGGAGTACGTCTTGGTAAAAGAGGTGGCGGTGCACGGCCCAGTTGAGAGTGTCCTTGAGGGCACGGCGGTAGAGGATGCGGACTCTCTCCTTCTGAGCCGCCCTCCGAGCCAGATACCCCGCCGTCGTCGCCGTCGCCGCCGCCGCCGCCGCGCTCATTCTTCTCCGTCTGGACGCTTCTCTGTCTCTCCCTCGCCCACTGGTGATGAGGAGTTCGATGTGACGATTTTTTGTTTTTTTGGTCGAACGATGTGACGATTGACTAGTGAAATTACGCAGCTAGTCTTTTCCTCGCGGTTTTAGAGCTGCGTTAACTTTTTTTTTTTGACATAATTTTTAGAGCTGCGTTAACTTAACCGGCTGGTTTGACCCAAAAAAAGAAAATTAATCGGGTATTATTTTTTTTATATTTACTAGAAGTCGTAAAACTTATCGCGAAAGTATAATTAAGTCTTAATGTTAGAATATTTAAATAATAAATCACGCCTTCATATAACATCTTAAGCTTTTAAAACAAATGGCAATGGTCCCACAAAAAAAAGTTATAATATTTAAATAATAAATCACTTTTTAAAAGTTTTAGGACTCAATTGCATTTTCACAACAAGTTTTAAGACTTTTAGTGAACATATCCTATTTTTTATTTCATGGGATAATGACACAAACAGTCCTTGAAGTTTAGCTCAATATGTAATATGGTCCATGAATTTATATTTTATTCAATGTAATCCCTGAACTTTAGCTTAATATTTAATATGATTTCCGAATTTTTAATTTGTTCAATATGGTCCATGGATTTTTTATACATATTCAATGTAGTCCCTAAATTTCACAGAGCATATTATAAATTGAATTAAAGTTAATGGATCGTTTGTATCATTTTCTCACTTATATTCAATTACTATCTTCTCTTTATTTTTTATAAAATAATTGATGATTTTTTTTTCTTTTCCCTATAACTATCTCTACGACCCGTGTGATGCGCGAAACGGTTAAAGAAAATAATTTGCAAATAAATTTAAAGTAAAAAAAAGTTCCATTTTATAAAATTTATGAGGAGAAAAAAACATTAGTTTCGTATATAATTGACATTTTTCGCCATCTTCTCTTGTCATATCTAATTACTTTTATGTGCTAGAAATTTGAGTATAATTGCTTCTATGTATGAAATTTATGTATTATCTCTAAATTCTTTTCTTGGGATCTCTCCCTCCTCGTTCGCTAAATTAGGCATCGGTCTTCTTGTGCCCGAGCCCGAGGCCGAGAGGGTTCTTTTGCTTTGTGATACGTAGCTAGGTCTCGCTTTCGAGAATTGGGTGCCCCTTGTGATTCCACCGTGGAGAAATCACAACCCTGAGGTGGCGACACGTGTCCAAGGGGGGCCCACCTGTCAGGAAGGTTCCACGATGGAATCACTCCCACGGCACAGAGCTGAGAGGTCTGGATGAGAAAATTTTTGAATAGAATCAAGTGCCCTCTCTCTCCACTCTGTCTCTCTCTTTCGCGCTCCCCATCCAGATCTCTACACTTCATCTCCCTCACGCCGCGTCGACGCCGACGCCGACGCCGCCTCCAACAAGAGACGCCCTAGCCTCAGACACCAACGCCGACGACGCCTCCGACGAGCAAGGCCCGCCGCTGCCCACGAGCGACGTCCGTCGCCTCCCATGAGCCGTCGCCTCCCACAAGCGAGGTCTGCTGCCTCCGACGAGTGAGGTCTGTCTCCTCGCGCCGACGCTGCCTCTGACGAGCGACGCCCTTTCCTACGCCTCCGCCCTAGCCTCTAACGCCAACGCCAACGACGCCTCTAATGAGCAAGGTCCGCCGCTGCCCTTGAGCGATGTCTGTCGCCTCCCACGAGCGAGGTCCATTGCCTTCGACGAGCGAGGTCCGTCTTCTCGCGCCGGCGTCGACGCTGCCTTCGACGAGCGACGCCTTAACCTCCGACGCCGACGCTGACGACACCTCCGACGAGTGACGTCCTAACCTCCGACGCCGACGCTAACGATGCCTCCGACGGGCTGCGATTTTTCCACTGTGGAATCACAAGAGGCACCGAATATTTTCTCAACAAATAGTTCTATTTTCTTGAGGGAGCTAACCAGATTCCCACAAACTGAAATCCGAAGTCCGAGTGTTCTTTTGCTTACCTTCGCATCGCTTGATAAGCCATCGCCTAATTTGAGAGCTGAGGTCTTATCAACGAGTGTATTCACGATCCATAAGGCATGACACTCTTCGCTTTTGTTGCTTTTCCCCCCTTTCTCTCGATCTCTCTTGCTCTTTCTCTGCTTGTGTCTCTTTTGACTTCCTGTTTTGGTCCCTAAAATTTGGTGATGAATTGTTAGATTCTTTGTCTATGACCAGCTATTCTGCTTAAAACAAGTGCATTCATAATTATGCTGGTGGCTGGTACTCTATCATTTATTGTGGTTTCTGCAGGTGATGATTTAGAAGTGGGCACGTCTACAATATGCCTGGAGGACCAGTTAAGATCGCTAGGATTTATCAATGGAAATGATGGTTCTTGGCTTTTCTCGATCACTATTTTAAGGAGGGCACAGTTCGGCTGTGTTTCAATTGCCCCAGAGGATGCTCTATTGGATCTCTCTTTCGAAAGAGAGGAAGGAAGCAATGTGGGTGTGGAGTGGCTGTCAATTTTTTTTATGGTGTTGTAGCTTTAGAGCTCTGTTGTCCTATGCATGGTTGTAGTGGTGGCCACAGAAGTGATTGAGTGATCTTTTTTTTTTTTTTGATAATCGAGGGTACGCACGTACGGCCGACAGCCAATAGCGACTATACCTCAAAAGGAACTAGCACAGCAACCCACCGCCATGGCCCCCCACTTAAATCGCAATAGCAATGCTGGGGAATCAATCCTAGGTCTCACGGGTAAAGATTAGGAACGTCCTAACCAGCGTAGCTGCCCACGGGTGGGTGAGTGATTGAGTGATCTTTTAGTGTGTCATACTTTTAGAAAATGCTATGTGCAAGGATTTGGCATTGTGCAAGTAGTTCTGCACAATGCCAAGTAATCAATTTTGTTTTTTTAGAATGAAGGATTAGAAGCCGTTAAGTGTATATAAACAGATATTAAAAATCAGCTTGTATCTGTTTTAACTGCTATAGTTTTTGGAAATATAGCACATCTTAAAAGCTAGAAGCGAGGGTTGAAAAGTCCTTTTAAACACCTCTGAAGACTTCAATTTTATTTTACCTTTTGGTTTTGCATATTGGCTGTAAGAAACTGCAAAAAGGATGATCATCTTGTTTTGGTTCCTTGATTAACATGCTGGCCTCTGAATCTACAGATGAATTCTCATGCACCTGGTTATATATTGATTGTGGTTCTGGGGCTATTTCTATCCCTACATGCAGATGAAGTTTTCTTTTTTCGGTATCTAGTACAGAAGATGAGCTACATTATGTTTAGTGGTGCGAGTGTGTTGAGGTTGTTCTATTATGTGTTTGCCTCAGAACTCTGAGGAAGAATGGTTTTTCTAGGTTCTGCTCTTGTTGAGTTCCTTTGCCTGATGTAGAGTTGAAGTGTATTGCTTGGTGGGTGTTTGTTTACCTGTGATTTGAGGTTGAACTTGGATTTACAAATTACAAAATAGGTGGATTTGAGGTTGAGTTTGGATTTTCCTAGGCGTTGACGCCCACCTAGCCAATGCTGATGCCGCCTCTGATGAGCGAGGTTCGCCGCTGCCCACGAGCAACGTCCGTCGCCTCCCACGAGCGAGGTATTTTTCAGATCGTGATGTCTTTTTTCCTCAGGTATATTTTCATTCACTACATTTAGTTGATATGAGCGTGCTTGTCGAAGGGCTTCTCGCTAATACAGGTTGGGATGAGCTTGTTTATGTTTGGCAACATGGACTGACCCTAGAGCTCCTTGAATTAGGATAAAAATTTCATTTTTTGGGGTCCCCTCGTTGAGCTGTGTCAACTTGGGATCAGGATTCTGAATGGCCAAATTTGAAAGTGTAATTGTCATTCTACGATTGATCTTGGTAAATGACTTGTAAATAATTAGACTGTAAATTAGATTCAATAAATAAGGGAAAATTTCTATTTGCATTATCAGAATGGTGATTTTGCGCTTGTTAGGTTCACCTTGTATGGTATAGCATCAGTGATGGTTCTCCTGTGTTTGTTTATTGCTGTGATTATTTAAACTAAGCTTTCTAGTCTTATTATAAGGATCTAGTTGCTGTTGCTGTAGTGAAACTTGTGTCTCGATTATAAATTTTCCGTGTTGCTTGGTTTGATCAGGGAAAGACCATGTAGTTGCCTCTTCTTTGTCATGCGAGGATGAGGTTGACTTTCAATATTATCAGTTCCTTTGTTTGGTTAGTGCAGCATTCTTTGATACTTCTCACTTTATGGTCGCTCTTTCCAACTTGTTTATCACCTGTTCTGGGCATGGGAGTTCTAACTTCTTCGACAAAATAATTATTGTGCTTGTCTCAAAACATCATTTCTTTGTTAATTGTGTTTTCTGAGCATTTGAAATGATTTGAAAGTGTCATTTTAATGCCTCTCTCGGAGGTGCATATTGTCCGATCAAATAAAATAAGTATTTTTGTTAGCGTGTGAAAGGGCAAAAGGACACTATTAGTGCTATAACTTGTGTACGGAGATCACTTTGGTGCCATAACTTTTTTTCGGATCACTTTGGTGCCAACTTTTTTGAAAAATGACCTCTTTAGTGCCAATGCTGACATATCTGGCCGGAAATCCTACGTGGCGCTGACATGGCTCGCCGGAAATCCTACGTGGCGCTGACATGGCTCGCCGGAGAGGTCCATGGCTCGCCGGGGAGGTCCAGTCAGCATTAAAAACAAAAAATGATGCCGTTTAGTCCGATGACGTGTACTTTTTTAGAAAAAAAAAATCAAACATTGCAGTAGCGGCGAGGGTTCCCTCGCCGCTGCTGCTGCCACCCCACCACTGCCGGGAAGGGCCGGTAGTGGTGGGCGGAGTGGTCGGCGAGGGTCGCCGGCCCCTGGCCGAGGCTCGGCGACCCTCGCCAAGAGGAAGCGATTGCCTTTGCTGGTGAGGCGAGACCTCACCGTTGCAACCCAGGCGATGGCGAGGTCGGCCTCGCCAGATCTGGCGAAGCTCGCCGGTGGGGCGAGCTTCGCTAGATCTGGCGAGACCTCGCCGTTGCAACCCAGGCGATGGCGAGGTCGGCCTCGCCAGATCTGGCGAAGCTCGCC